ATGTGACTAATTATAATCAGCTAAAGAATTATTTTTTATTAGCCAAGTTTGAAATATTGCTGTGTTTCATACAGGTACCTGAGTTCACTGCAGTATTGCTGATGAGTGTTATTTCTAAAGTGACCTTCTGCATCTGTTGGACTTTTGTTTTTCAGAGATATCTAAATTCAGTGTTTATTTAATTGAATTTTGCCTGCTGCAATACAATGCTGCATCAACGATTCATTTACCAAAAAGGCACCTAAATGATGCTTTTTTAATAACATTGTTTTAGAACTAAACCACACTATCTAGCACAGAGATCATGGCCTACATTACACACGGTTGAGTATAGATTTAAATATTTTAACATATGCCAGGTATAAAATGGGACTGTGGAAGTCACTGTACTTTTTAATATAAGGGTTTCAAACTAACTGGTATGATATCCCTCTGGCAGGAATGCACTGAGCATGTGCCAGTTCATCCTATCTTTCCATGAGCCCATACCATGAAAGCATATCCCATGAGCCTATCAATGGGATTAGTCACAAGAGCCTTAATAATTTATCTTCTTTCTACGATTTCTCAGAAATGTTTGTATCCACCAGAACATCTCTCTATAAATAGCTTTATTTCCAGTGATAACCCATGAATTCAGAGACTTATATTTTGCAGCTGTAAATAGTAAACATTAGTTGATGTGCTAATAGTCTAGAATTCCCAAATGATCCCGATGATGTTCAAAAGTAATACTGACAAAACTGGTGGCATCTTCAGTGCTTCCAGGGCCCTTCTATCTGCCATGCTCAGGCCAGGCCTCAGAACCTGCTGTCACGTGCTGCTCTTTCTTTTGAAATGCTGGTTGTCAGTCCACTTGAAGAATGAATTAACACTGCCCATATGCTGTGTCAGGAGGAGTTTGGTACAAAAATCTCACAAGCTTTGACATGAACATTTAAGCAGTTGTCTCATAAAGATCATTATTAATAGTCAGAAAAAAATGCTTCTGGAAAAAACAATTTCTTGCTTTTCAGAGGACCAGAAGTACTTCAGAAAATCTGTTCTGCAGCTGAAACTTCGTATTTGTGGCAGCAAATACAAAGTACTCTGGAGTAAACATAAACAAAACTAACCTGAGTTTAAAAAGACAATTCAGGCTTTTAGCCTGAAAAGTGAATCTTACAGGAATCTGATTATGGAAGTCAGAGGGAATTTACAAAGTACTCAGCATCTTGCAGGATTGCTTTTTAATTTTAGTCTAAAAAGGCTGAGCTCTGATGTGCAAAACTGCCTAAGGATATACTGTGAAAACTTCTTGGTTTAAACTAAACAAAAAACTAGGCACTTGGAAGAAAACTATCAGAAGTCCATATCACCTGAATTCTCCATTATTTTATTTGCAAATCATGTTTCTAGAAAATCTGACAAGGAACTCCAATTCTTTTTAAATTATCCTTATTTTAATGTTCACTCCACTCTGATACCCTAAGAGATCTAAGACTTTTTCTTTCTAAATAAGCAGTGCAATCTGGAGATCACACAAAGCATATCAGCAGGGAAGGACAAGCCACTGGAGGCATAGTCAAAGAGCAATACTGGACAGAAGAATAATAAAAAAAAGTCATGAGGGGTAAAGAAGAAGAAACTTGAGTGAATCACTGAGGACAAAACTGGGAGAGAGTAATTTAGAAGGAAGACAAAAAGAGTAAGCAACACAGAGAGAGAAGGTAGCTGGCCTGTAATTTAATGGCTGACAGAGCACCTAGTGCTCCAACCTGGAGAGCATAGGGCAGGTACATGTGACAGTGAAGAATTCAAGCAATTGGTTTATATAACATGTACAGGTTTATATAACATGTACAAAATATATTTTTTAGTACAGAGGAGACATGGCAGTTTCTGTCCTCATATTAGTATTCATCTGCCTAAGCCTTTCTCAGGAGTTAACTTTTGGAATTACAGGGATTTGTAAACTGATGGCAAAGATCTTATTTTAGATGACCAGCATCATCATCCTGAGAAAGTATATCCATCTATTCCCAACTAATAGCTTTCTCTGGACATTCACTGCTGATGAATTATGCTGCAATAGGAAGATTTAACCCCAAATCCAGTTTAATCTTTTGTTTACATAAAGTCTTAGAAATCATGCTCAGTTACTGGAAAGCCAGCAGAGGAAGTCCACATTAACATAGCCTTTTACATATGCTCTCTCTGATTAATTCACACAAAAAGCAAAAAGTCCCAATGAAAAAGAGCTCCTTGTCTTTTAAAGCGAGAACAATTTACAGTACAATGGATAGACCAGATAGGAGGAGTTTCTGCTTTCAAGCTTTTACTAATCACAATTTTTTTTTATCAGTCCACTATGGCAGATTGGTATTGGTGACCAAAGTCTGGTTTAGGAACCGCAAAAATGCTGTTACTCAGCTCCTGTGGTGAGTGATTTAATCTCTGTGCAATGCTAGACACACAGCTGTTGGGAGATGCATTCATGTCTGTAGCACTCAGAAAATTGTTTGCATTGCTCAGACAACACCTGGAAGGCTGAACCAAGGATCAGTGATTTAATTACCATTAAAAATAAGCAAGTAGCTACAGATAGCAGCTTGGTTTTAGGACACGCTGCCTTTTTGCCAAATCATCACTGGGAAAAAAAAATTATCAACTGACATAATAAAATGAAACCAATCAACATTAGTTGGGAAACTGAGTCTTGTCCTGTAGTAAATAAACATAGAAATTAAATATTCCTGAAAACTCTACTAACCTTAGTTCAGCCTTCTTGGAGCGACAACCTGGCCATGGGATTATAAAAAAAAGACCCTAGCATGTTGTTTGTGATTTCTGTGCTAGACATGGGAATTGTAAGACTTAAAAGAAATTATTTTGACTGAGAAACTTTCTACTCACATAAAAGGCATGAGAGAAAATATTTTTCTTGCAACTTAAGCAAAATTGTTTAAAAAGGATATACCTCTTAAAATAATTTGGTCAAGTGTTTTAGACCACAGATACAATTGCAGGACTTAGCACTTGCAACGACCATCCATGACAGATTTCCTTAAGGGAAATCATCATAAAATATTTTAGCTTGGAGGAATCTTTAAAGCTTGTCTAGCTTGTCTAGGAGCAGGGACATCTTCAATGAGATCAGGTTGCTCACAGACCCATCCAACCTCCTCTTGAATGTTTCCAAGGATGGGCATCCACCACCTCTCTAGGCAACAAATTACTGTGTTTCACCACCCTCATTGTAAAAATCGTCTTCCTTATCTCTAGTCTAAATTGATCTTCCTTTAGTTTAAAACCTTTACCCCTTGTCCTATCACAACAGGCCCTGCTAAATCTACCTCCTAAGTTCTCAATATTGATGAAGTTAAATTTTCCAGTTAAATATTTCCATTGAAACCTTAGGATAGTAATTTGAGGATTTTTTTAGAGATGCAGCCCACTGGAATAAAGCAAGCAATAATATGTCACTGCTACAAGGTTCTGAAATGATTCCTTTGGCTTTCCTGCTGGAGGCCTGGCCTGGGCTGAGGAATGCTATGAGGTCAATTTCAGAGTAAACTCTGGATGTTCACATGTTGGACTCAAAGATCTTGGAAAATATCTCTTTTCCAACACTAATAATTGCATGATTCTATGTTATCATTCTCTATTATTTTAGAAGCCCGGGAACATTTTATAGCTTTTTTTTTCCTCCAGCACAGCATGATAATTAAATTCAGTATTTTCCTTCAATCAGATATTAAAAAAAACTTACCTGCAGACCCCATGGAAAGAGCAAAATACCACACAGGGTTAAACGTCTGGAAACTCTGGGGACACCCTGTTCCTCTGATCCTTCTGTTATTAAAGAAATGTGCTCTCCTGATAGAAAATGGTGATTAACATCCTCACAGGTTTTTTTTAATGGCTGTCACTGCATGTTGTGAGGGGCTGAATCCATTAAAGCTTTGCAGGATACAACATAGACTTCAGGTCACTCCAGAACTCAAAGCCTTCATTTCTTTAAATTCATACTGATGCAAAGCATTCAGTTTTCAGTGAATGTTTAGGTTTCCTTCATGGCCAGCATAGCACCCAAAAAAGATGTGACAACAGCTGATCACCTTCAATTAGCAATTTCCTGTCCAACATTTTATCTTGCCTAATTGGAACCGCTTTCCAGGTATTAGGCTGGGGTTTGTATATAGTATTAATGCTTTCTATAGAATGGAAACTGTTATACTGAGGTCACTACTTTCAGCTCATTGGTGTATGTTTGATGGTTCAGACTCTGGAAAGCCCCACATTATTTCAAAGAAATTTTCTAAAAGTTTTCCTCATTTGTTCTATAATCCTCTTGTCTCTACAGGAGTTATTGCCCACCAAGATTGCTCTATGATAGCTGCTGCCATGGAGATAGCAAGGATATCTGTGGGATATCACCACCAAAGAGTTTCAAAATTATCTCATTTTACCTGGTGAGTGGAATCCTAACCACCTTTCCTATCAACTGTTTCAATGCCAGTAATCTTGAGTTCCATTAGTATTTAAAAATCAAGGCATTTTTTCTCTTGAATTCTAACACCCCTCCAGCCCAGGGGAAGGGTTACTTCTCTGGCAGCTGGGGATGCTATTTCTACCTCCTGATGTCCCACAGTTTGGAAACCAAAACTTGGTGCATAAATTTTGTTGTGGCTATGTCAAATATTTGCAGTTTTTTTAAGTTAGCTGTGATTTCCATGGCTTTACTCGTGTATATGTCCACTGTATACACCACAACTTTGTTTATACCTTTCAGAATGTATGAGGATAAGAAAAAACAATAATCTTTCTCTGCCTGGGATTGCCCTAGAGTGGTTTTGTGCACTGCTACTAAGATTCTGCAGTTCCTTTGGGTCTGCCCCAATGGCGTGGGGAAGGGGGCTGCAGAAGAGCGTACAAGGAACCTGACGAGAGACAGGCTCACGGGCATCTGTGGGGCCTGCAGTGAGAAAACAAAGCTTTTCTGCAAACAGCTTCAAACCATGCGTAAGGCTAGTAATCGGGATGCTCGGTCCAGGAAAAAAAGCAGGTATCTCTGTGAGAAAGCCCTGTGGAAAGGGAGCAGTGTGAAAGCCGGTGTTCCACAGCACCCTCAGCGTCAGCCGCCGCTCTAGGGCCGAGCTCCGTGACTCGCTCAGCGGCTGCGGCGCTGCAGGGCCGCGGAGCGCTCCGGCGGAGGGCAGGGCTCTTCCCCTCCTCCCCACAGAGCCACCGGGAGCCGCGGCGCCGAGAGCCGGACCGGCGCAGCCCCGGGGGCCGATCCCGGCACAGCCCCGGGGGCCGGACCGGCGCAGCCCAGGAGCCGATCCCGGCGCAGCCCCGGGGGCCGATCCCGGCACAGCCCCGGGGGCCGGACCGGCGCAGCCCAGGAGCCGATCTCGGCACAGCCCCGGGGGCCGGACCAGCGCAGTCCAGGAACCGATCCCGGCGCAGCCCCGGGGGCCGGACCGGCGCAGCCCCGGGGGCCGGACCGGCGCAGCCCCGGGAGCCGGACCGGCACAGCCCCGGGAGCCGATCCCGGCGCAGCCCCGGGAGCCGGACCGGCACAGCCCCGGGGGCCGATCCCGGCGCAGCCCAGGAGCCGATCCCGGCACAGCCCCGGGGGCCGGACCGGCGCAGCCCAGGAGCCGATCCCGGCGCAGCCCCGGGGGCCGGACCGGCGCAGCCCCGGGGGCCGGACCGGCGCAGCCCCGGGGGCCGGACCGGCGCAGCCCCGGGAGCCGATCCCGGCGCAGCCCCGGGGGCCGGACCGGCGCAGCCTCGGGGGCCGATCTCGGCACAGCCCCGGGGCCCGGACCGGCGCAGCCCCGGGGGCCGGACCGGCGCAGCCCCGGCGGGCCCGGGGCGGCGCAGCCCCGGCGGGCGCGGGGCGGCGCTGCTGCCTGCGGCCGGCAGGGGGCGCGCGGGGGCAGCGCCGCGCCCGCCCCGCCCGAGCGCCGAGCTCTGAGGGAGCCGCGGGCAGGGCGAAGGGAAGTCCCCGCCGTGGGCGAAGCAATGCCTGTGTCCACGGCGTGTGCGCCCTGCTCAGAGCAGCACGGCCCCTATGGGACGGAGGAAACCTCTTTCCTCGGGCGCGCTGGGAGTGCCGGAGGAAGGCTGGGCGGGCAGGCACGCTGCGCTCGGGCAGCGGGAGCTGCGCCTGCAGAGAGGGGGCGAGCTGCGTCCTGCCGCTCGCCGCTGGCCGCACACACGCGGGGAGACCAGAGACCGTCCGGACAGAAGTTTTTAGGGGGATTTATTTTCACCACACCCCCACAAACCCATGGGGAGATGAGGCCGGGCAGCGCGTGAGGGTGCATCACCTGAGGTGTCCAGGAGGCGGCTTTCAGAAATCATGCGATGGGTTTGGGTTGGAAGGGACCTTGAAGATCTTCTAGTTCAATCTCTCTGCCGCAGACGTTCACTAGACCAGGTTGCTTGGAGCGGCATCCAGCCTGGCCTTGAACACTGGCAGGAATAGGGAAACCTCAGCTCTTCTGGGCAGTGTCTCGCCAGCCTCACAGTAAAGAATTTCCTCCTAATATCTAACATAAACCTACTCTCAGTTTGAAGCCGTTCCTCCTTGTTCTGTCACTACATGATCTTGTAAATTGACTCTCCATCTTGTGGGCTCCCTTCAGAAGAGGCTCCTGGAAGATCCCTTCTACAGAGTGAACAACCCCAGTTCCTTCAAGGCTTTCCTTGTAGGAGGAAAATCCCTCTAATTAGCTCAGTGGGCCTTCTCTGGACTTGCCCTAACAGGGCAATGCCCTTCCTGTGCTGGGGACCCCAGACCTGGATTCATTTCCCATATGACATGATCAAGGCGCTGGAAAACTGGCTTTACTGCCAGTCCCTCCAGCCCTTTTACTCAAATTTCAATAATTTAAAAAAATACCCTATTTGTTGAGGTTTTTTTTCTGACATATTTTGTCCTATTCCACTCACTTTGAAGTTCTAGCACTTCTAGAAAGTAAATTTCAGAAATTCAACTGACTTTATTTATACCAGGCTGAGACTATGCAGGATTTGAACCACGTAGTACTGGCATGCTTCACGAGATGGAGGCTTCCTAGGGTGCTTGCTCTGTTCCCAGACTGCTATTTAAAAGGATGTTAGTGTCACTCAAAAAACCAATGTTCCCATATTTTATGAGATGGTATTGCTATGTGTGTATCACAGGGCAGAATTACACATAACACTTCCAGGCTTCTACTCTGTTACACTGAGAACGAAGCTTGGAGGCGTGGGCCTAACACAGGAACAGCACTGTACCCTAATGCTGGTTTAGTTCTTGTGAAAACTGCATTTGAATCTGGCAACATGATAGACCAATGTCTGCTGCAGCCTGAGCTGGGACAGTGACTGGCATGATAACTTATTGATGTAGCTATGAAGGATATGCTTATTTTACTTATTTTACTCTTTTTTAATGACTAAATTATACTACTGTGGAAAATAATTATGATTGTTATGAGAGACATTTTTATTTTTCAATTTTCATGGCAGACACTCTTTGTCTTCTGAATATCTCATTTCTCTAATGCCAGAGAGGTTTTTCTCCTTTCTCTCTTTAATTTTCCTGGTGTTTGACATTGTTTGGTAATTTCCCTTCAACAACCCTCGCACATCTCCAGCAGTTCAGGAGATCAGATATTACAAAAACCATATCCTGAGAAACAGTGTGTGTCACGTACCAAACTCTTGCCAATGTTGCAGGTTGTTCACATTTTAATCTGTCTGATGAAGTTAATCTAGAGGAGGGCCTGGACAGGCAGTGATGAGATGTTTGGATTCAGTTTCAACACAAACTATCAAATGACATCTCTTATGCCAGTAAAAGGAAACCAACCTAGGAGCCTTCTGGTAAAGACTTCCTTCCTTTGGAGAATTTATAGAAAGGAAACAAAATAAACCTAGCCTTTTATTTAAAAATAACTTGTGGTTCTTTCACAGACAACTAAAAACAGCCTTGACCAGGTAGGAAACACCTGACTTTTAATATCCTCTCTAATTTTAAATCTATCATTAAAATATGTGGCTAGCAGAGTATAAAATCCACTTTAAGCTCTATGATAAACATTCAGAAGGATTTATATAACTAAATATTACAGAACAAAGATAACAAATGGTGCAAAAAATCTTACAGCTATCAAAAACAGCTAATAAGTTGCCTTTTGCTCTGCCATTGAAACACATACTATTTGAGCTGGTGTCATTCCACACTGATTTAAGGAAGCTGGGAGAGGGGGCTAGCTACACAGTACACTGCAATCAGACAGTTTGGGATGGGATTTTTCAAAACATTCATGGGTAATTGATCCTCAGTTGCTTTTGACCAGAAGCTTTCCTTTTTCTTGGACTGCAAGGGAGTATTGGGCACCTAAATATGTAAGTTGACTTCCCCTCTAGTTTTCAGGATTTCATCTAAATGAAAAAATTAAAATTCAATTGGGATGGAAAAGAAAAACTCCTTAGCAGGTAACATTAATAGGTAATCCTTAAGACAGAAGGCAAAAAAGAAATATGCAAAATTTATTCTGCCTTCATAATTAATGGTGCTACATCTACTTTAAATGTCATGACAGCTCTCATTTGGATCAGCACTACTCATAAATCTGCTTTGTCATAAATAAGTACAAAGCCATAAAAAAATTGCAATCCTGTGCAGCAAGAGGGAGTGTTTGCATTTACACAGATATGTGCTGTGCCCTGACTAGTAGCATAAACATTTTTTTCTGGCTGAAAATTTCCATGCTTGGTTTGGGTTCCAAAAAAAGAGATGGAAGTGGAAAGAAGAAACTTAAAGTAACGTGAATTCTGGGAAAACATTTTAGATCCATACATAGGCAGATTTCAGTAAATATAATTATATGAAAGATGACAAAACACATAATATGAAAAGCAGCATTAAAACAACAAATGGAACCATGAAAGAGGTAAAATTTATATTCTTTGCTCATAACTTTCAAATATGAGTTGGTTACCAAAATGCATATGCCCTGTGAGTGGGCAAGTAAAGTTCCTATTGAACAACTTTTAGGACTGTGAGTGCTACTGCAAACACATAAAAACTTATTATTTTCTTGCAACCGAGAAATAAATACCCATAATCAGTATTAGTAATTAAACTGGTTTATTTTTAAGTGGCATGTGTATGCTAATTAATGATTATTGTGCTGGTTTTTACTTCAGTGCTGTCATCAGTATCCCTTTGGCTGTTTAGTTTTCATAAAGACTTCTGAATGTTTCCTTGCAATACAGGCTATTTCCTTTGGACAGATAGCTACTCACTGTGCTGGCTCTTAACCTGCAGTACCAAGAGCTGCCAAACTGGAGGCTGTGGTTTCTGAATCATACCCCTATCTTTGCCTCCAGCATCTCTTGAATAAGAATATGGAAAATCTGTTTCCCTAAGAACTAGAGGTGCCTGTGGAATCTAATGTAGTGTGTTGCCTTGATTTTCATGTCAATGGAATATTCTTCCCTCTAGAAGTGCATTTGTGTTCTGTGCATGTTTTGTGGGAAGATTAGGAATACTCTTCAGTTTCTCCTCCTGGAAGGTATTTATGAAGATGTTTCTCAAAACCAGTTGGACTTGAACACGTGAGGAAGGAGGAATGTCATTATGCCTTCTTGGGCCTCTGCTTCTGGTCTCCTTGAGTTGGAATTTCTATTCTATTGTAAACAATGAAAGTATCTCCTTTCCTCCTCCTTTCCGCCTGCCCTCTATCCCAGCCAGGCAGGAAATCGGGTTTGCTCCTCCTCTAGGGACGCTGTAAGCTCTGTGTGCTTACATAGGGGATCTGTCTTCAATAACCAGCCAAGGCTTCTGCGGAGGAAAATCCTGCGCTCGCAGCACCTTCGTTATTGATCAATGGGGCATGCTCGGTGCCAGCAGCTAGTTGCAGGAAGTACTTTGGCCTGTGATCCTGTGTAGATAGGTAATATTTGAGTTAGCTGAGAACAAATAAAACTGATGGTTGGAAGTCACAAAAACAAAACTTGTTTTTGCTAACCACCTAGCATTTGCAGGGATTTGTCAGTGTGATTGCCAGCTGCTACAGCTCGCAACTGAGGTCACCTTCTCTTTGTATATAAACATTAGTCATTTACTAAAGAATGCAAAAAACAGGTGTTAGTGTTCATTGGCAATCTGTTCTTTCAAAGGGATGCTGTAAGATAGCACCTGACAGAACAATTCCTTGTATGCCTGTTGTTATTAACATAAACACACTTGTACTGTTACTTAGGCAGTGTCGTTGGTATGCATAGTACAGAAAAGGTAAACAAAATGACAGATGCTTACACCAGATGAAATTACAATTAAACTAATGACAGACAAAAATAAAGGAAGTGTGGCAGGAAAATGTGAAAGAACACAGAAATCATTGCAAGATATGATTTTTTTTTTAATGCTGTTGTTTTTAAAGAGGCAGTTCTACATTTTATGGCCAGTATGGAAATTGAAGATTGAAACTGCAAACTATTATCTGTATGGATTTTGAAATGCAGTAGTGCTTTTCCCACATGATGAGAGAAGATATTGAAGACTAAGAAATTTGCATTAAAAAAAAACACAGTGATTGTGGAAAAAGGTAATTAAGCTGTCATCTGAAATTGTGCTCTCTGGAACAATTATAAATTTGACCTTCCTATCAGCTTTTAAGCTTAAACTTTCTATAAGCTGTAAAACATAGCAGGACTTCTGATGCTAAGGCCCTGTCTACTTAGGTTGACCTGACAGGAACAAATTTCATTAGATCACTTCAAACTTAGGGGTAGAGAAGTCCAAAATTAAATTAAGACATCATTTAAATAAAATACATCTAAATATTAATTTATTAATAAAAGATATCCATTCTTCTATGGTAAACTTAGCATTTTTCTAAAGTCACGGTGATTTTTACATTTTGCTGCTTTGGCAGATCTAAGACTTACTAGAGAAAAGTCATGCCTCTGTGCTTTCAGTTCACTGACCCACTGAGAATGAGATTCACCATCCGGTATCTAGTATTTAAGAATGATAGGAGCCTGTTCTGCTGAAGAAGGAAGTTGAAAAGCCAATGTATAAGGTGTGATACAGTATTAGCCAGTATTACATACAGTCAGCACACTGTCAGTCTAACTGCAATCTGACTTTGTGCAGGTATTATCAAATACTGTTTCAAAGATTAGTGGGGTAGCTTTGAAAATGTTTCTGAAACACTCCTCCACTTCAAGACAAGTTACACTGGGATGATACACATTCAGAAAAAACAATTATGCCAATGCAAAGTAATCTCAATTTTCCTTCAGGTATGATGTTCACA